CGAAATTCAAAACAAACAAACAAACTGTAACAAATTCCAACTAAAAGCTTTCACTTTTTATAACCACTAAAAGAAACATAAATAGTGTAGCTTTGCGCGAAATTAAAAAACAAACAAAACAAACAATTTATTATTTTACGATGAGCACAATAATCTATTCGGTATGGAAATCAGCTCAACCAGTTGGAAATTATTAACGGATATGCACGTGAAGGTTTAAAGTATTTTATACAACATTGAAAATTTCGAGCTCGTTTAGTTCAATCATTTTCGAAACCAAAGCAATAAAAATTGAGACAATGTGAATGATATTCTTCACCATATAAAATAACAATATGCACTTTTTAAATTAAAACATAATACAAAAACAGATCTGAGTCTATTCTCCATACCAACATGTAAAAAAAGGTATTATGCGTATAATCAATTAGTTTTTCGAGGTTTAAGCAATCTAGCATAAATTTACATTTCAATTTGTTATTCTACTCAAAACAAAATAAAATAATTTCGCTTGAATATAAAGTATTGGAAACAGGTGTTTTGATATTTTTTAAGCATTTTTTTTATTAAATTCTTATTCGTTTAAATTTAGGTGTGGGGTAAACTAAATATTTAGGCTTAAGCAAATGACAACAAACTTAGGCTTAGTATGGTCTAATTGTTAGTGCGCTCTACTCGTAATCTGCTTGTATCGAGTTCGAATCCCCGCCACCGAACATATTCACCCTTTAGGGTTACTGTAAGCACCAGCCGCTCACCTTGGGTAATATAAAATACCCGAGTGGCCGGCCTTATATCTAGATGGAATTAAGGTCGAATGAAGTGAAGGAAATGATAAATTTAGAAGCCATAATGATATTATCTCAATGTATTCAATCCCAACTTCCGGGCATTTATCATATGAATGTCAAAATTAGGTAATACATTAGTTTTTGTTCCGAAGTTAAAGAACACAGCAGTCGCTTAGGTTAGTGTTTAATGCTTTTTAATTGTTTTCATTGTAGGATGACTGTGGAGTGATATTCGTGCACGTGTTTGATTTTTATGACAAACATAAAGTTATAGAATATAGTTTTCTTCATTTCTAAATATAATTGTTGTTTTGTCTTATATTAAATCAATGCTAAAAAACTAACGGTAAATAAGTTCCACATTTCAGCATTTTAAAGTAAAAATAGAGATAATATTATTTCTCCTAAACACACACTCTAGTGTTTGATACATGCTTAGAGGGTCTAACAAGTCACATTAAATAAAACAGAAACCTTACACGAATACAGGCTACGTGCGTGAAATACCACTCATTGTGATTGTGTACGGGCAGTTTTTCTATTAGTTAAACACAAAGCTATGCAATGGCTATGTGTGCTCTGCCCACTTCAGGCATCAAAACCAAATAATTAGCGTTATGGGCCCTCAAACTTATCGCTGACTCATCGGTTTTTATGGAGGAAGGGGGTATAGGTAGAAGTAGACAATTTAAAGATTTAAAATAAATCAAAATATAGTGAATATGTTTAGCTTGCAATGTTAAGATAAAGCTTGGACTGGTGGTTAGGGCGCTCGACTCGCAATCTGAGGATCGCGAGTTTGAATCCTCGTCGTCGAATATGCTCGTCCTATATGATTGCCGTCTGGACCGGCTACTCGGCTGTAAACATTCTTGGCTTACAAAATTACCGGCTGGTCCCACACTAGTTGAGATTAAGGTCGTTACGGGGAAGATGGAGAAGGCAAGACTTGGCTTCAAATGACAGAATTTATACCAATGATAAATTACATTGGGTATTTTACATCTTCAAATTTTAAAGCAAACTTTCAGTAAATTCAGCATCAAAGCTACAAAAAAAAAGACCAACATTATCAGACAAGAAAAGGAACAAGTATTGGTGATAACAAAATATACGAAACCCGGTAGAAGGATATTATAAAGGGTTAACTACACCTCTCCACTGAAAGTTGTAAACCTCTCCATAGTCTGTTATTAAATTGGTACTCACGTTATCTTCTTCTTCTTCTCTATTACCACTTTCACTCACTATTCTGTACATTATAACATACATATAATTCGTAATTTGTTTGCGTTATGTATCAGTATATTTCTAGTGCTTAGCTAATCATTAGAGACTGCATGTTCATTTATGATTAAAGCTAGTATCAACCATATCCTTTAAAAGATCAGCTTTTTATCTAAGTGGGGCTTTTTAATATTCAAATGCTTAAGAGGTCTTTAGTAATTCAAATTAGATTATTCTGAAGTGTTTTTGTTTAGATTATTTTGCATACGATTCGAATTTATATATGTCTAGTAAAAATTTAAAAACTCCTTACCAACTTTAATTAAACTTTAAAAGAAAATCCAGTAGTTTACCATAACAAATACAATAAATAATTTCTGGGAAGTTTTAATATAGTTGAAATTAAAGTTTTACTTGATTTATATTCACGAGAAAGTTCGTAACTGTTGCATCAACAGTTGAGCGTAAACATAAAAAAAGTGCACAAGGCAGTACATGTGTTGTCTGGATCTTTCTGGAGCCGGTTGACAGCGAAGAACAACCAAACTCTTGGAAAACCTGACGCTTAATCAATGCCCTTCCTAAACCGTACACGGTAACAACAAACGAGGAATTCAAGTACGGTGTATTGACCTGAGACATGTGGTGAAACAGATCAGATTAAACGTGAAATTTTTGTTTCAGATAAATATTGAGTGAGCAAGATACGTAACTATATTTAAGATGGCGGGTTAAATAATCCTCATATAAGAAAAGTATTTACGTGAAGATGGGCATCTATCTGAACAACCAGAATACTTCTTCCTAGGAAAATAAATACAACTCAATGAGATGTGCCAACACTATAATTTATATTTCTATATAATTATTTACATTTTCAATGCAAGTCTATTTCGATAGAAGTCCGACTCGAACCTTCAACTTGTACAACAAAACATACCACTTTTCAACGCCGTACA